CTTTGAGGATGTAATTGCTGAAAACTTCCCAAATGTGGGGAAGGAGACAAGTCTCTCAGGCCATGGAGGTGCACAGATCTCCCAACACAAGGGACCCAAGGAAGAAAACACAAAGACATATAGTAATTAAAATGGCAAAGATCAAGGATAAGGACAGACTATTAAAAGCAGCTGGAGAGAGAAATAAGATCATATACAAAGAAAAGCCCATCAGGCTATCATCAGACTTCTCAGGAGAAAGCTTACAGGCCAGAAGGGAGTGGCATGATGTATTTAATGCAATGAAGAGGAAGGGCCTTGAAACAAGAATACTTTAGGTGGTAAGATTATCATATAAATTTGAAGGAGGGATTAAACAATTTCTAGATAAGCAAAAGCTGAGATAATTCACAGCACACAAACCATCTCTACAGTGTAATATGGAGGGACTGCTATAGATGGAAGTGTTCCTAAGGTTTAATAGCTGTCACCAGAGGTAATAAAATCACAGTAAAGAAAGTAAAACAGTTAATTATTAAGCAAATGCAAAATTAAATGAATTATCCCCAAAGTCAATGAAGGGATAGACAAGGAGTACAGAATATGATATCTAATATATAAAGAATGGAGGAGGAAGAAAAAGGAAGAGAAAAACAGAACCTTTAGGTTGTGTTTATAAGAGCATATTAAGTGAGTTAAGTTAGACTCTTAGATGCTAAGGAAATTAACCTTGAACCTTTGGTAACCACGATTCCAAAGCCTTCAATGAAAGTAAGTACATACCTGTCGATAATCACCCTAAATGTAAATGGTCTGAATGTACCAATCAAAAGACACAGAGTCACTGAATAGGTAGAAAAACAAGACCCATCTACAAGAGACCCACTTTAAACCCAAAGACATACACACACTAAAAGTGAAGGGATGGAAAAAGATATATCATGCAAATAATAGGGAGAAAAAAGGAGGGGTTGCAGTACTTGTTTCAAACAAAATAGACTGCAAAACAAAGAAAGTCACAAGAGACAAAGAAGGACATTACATAATGATAAAGGGGTCAATCCAACAAGAAGGTAGAACCATTATAAATATCTATGTGTCCAACACAGGAACACCTACATATGTGAAACAAATACTAACAGAATTAAAAGGTGAAATAGAATGCAATGCATTCATTCAAGGAGACTGCAACACTGCACTCACTCTGAAGGACATATCAACCAGAAAGAAAATAAATAAGGACACAGAGGCACTGAACAGCACATTAGAACAGATGGACCTAACAGACAGCTACAGAACTCTACACCCCAAAGCAGCAGAATGCACATTCTTCTCAAGTGCACATGGAACACTTTCAAGAATACATCATACACTAGGCCACAAAAAGAGCCTCAGTAAATTAAAAAAGATTCAAATTGTACCAACCAGTTTCTCAGACCACAAAGGTATGAAGCTAGAATTAAATTATGCAATGAAAATGAAAAACCCCACAAACACATGGAGGCCTCACAACATGCTCCTAAATAACCAATGAATCAATGACAAAATAAAACAGAGATCAAGCAATATATGGAGACAAACAACAACAGTAATTCAGCACCGCAATATCTGTGGGACACGGAAATGCCATGATCATGATAAGAGGAAAGTATATTGCAGTACAGGCCTACCTCAGGAAAGAAGAACAATCCCATATGAATAGTCTAAAGTCACAATTAACAAAACTGGAAAAAGAAGAACAACTGAGGCACAACGTCTGTAGAAGGAGGGACATAATAAAGATTAGAGCAGAAATAAATAAAATTGAGAATAATAAAACAATAGAAAGAATCAATGAAAACAAGAGCTGGTTCTTCGAGAAAATAAACAAAATAGATAACCCCCTAGCTAGACTTATCAAGTAAAAAGGAGAGTCTACACACATAAACAGAATCAGAAATGAAAAAGGAAAAACCATTACAGACACCACAAAAATACAAAGAATTATTAGAGAAAATTATGAAAATCTATATGCTAAAAAACTGAATAACCTAGAAGAAATAAACAACTTTCTAGAAAAATGCAACCTTCCAAGGCTGACCCAGAAAGAAATAAGAAAATCTGAACAGACCAATTACCAGCAACAAAATAGAATTGGTAATCAAAACACTACCTAAGAATAAAATGTGCCTGAACCAGATGACATCACCACTGAATTTTACCAACATTTAGTGAAGACCTAATACCCACCCTCCTTAAAGTTTTCCAAAGAGTAGAAGAGGGAATACTTCCAAACCCATTCTATGAGGCCAGCATCACTCTAATACCAAAACTGGGCAAAGATACCACAAAAAAAGAAAACTACTGACCAATATACCTGAACATAGATGCAAAAATACTCAACAAAATTTTAGCAAACCGAATTCAGAAATACATCAAAAAGATCATCCATCGTGATAAGTAGGATTTATTCCAGGGATGCAAGGATGGTACAACATTCGAAAATCCATCAGCATCATCCACCACATCAACAAAAACAAGGACAAAAACCACATGATCATCTCCATAGATGCCGAGAAAGCATTTGACAAAATTCAACATCCTTCATGATAAAAACTCTCAACAAAATGGGTATGGAGGGCAAGTACTTCAACATAATAAAGGCCATATATGACAAACCCACAGCCAACATTATACTTAACAGCTAGAAGCTGAAAGCTTTTCCTTTAAGATGGGGAACAAGACAAGGATGCCAACTCTCCCCACTTCTATTCAACATAGTACTGAAGGTTCTAGCCACAGCAATCAGACAACGAAAAGAAATAAAAGGCATACAAATTGGCAAGGAGAAGTTAAACTGTCCCTGTTTGTAGATGACATGATATTGTACATAAAAAACCCTAAAGAATCCAGTACAAAACTACTGGATCTAATATCTGAATTCAGCAAAGTTGAAGGATACAAAATTAATATGCAGAAATCTGTTGCATTCCTCTACACTAACAATGAATTAGCAGAGAGAGAAATTGGGAAAACAATTTCATTCACAGTTGCATCAAAAAGAATAAAATACCTAGTAAAAAACCTAACCAAGAAGTGAAAGACCTATACATTGAAAACTGCAAGACACTCATGAGAGAAATTAAAACAATAAATGGAAACACATCCTGTGCTCACGGATAGGAAAAATTAATATTGTCAAAATGGCGATCCTGCCTAAAGCAATCTATAGATTCAATGCAATTCCCATCAAAATACCAACAGCATTCTTCAATGAACTAGATCAAATCATTCTAAAATTCCTTTGGAACCACAAAAGACCCTGAATAGCCAAAGCAATTCTGAGAAAGAATAATAAAGCTGGGGGGATTACACTCCTGACTTTAAGTTCTACTACAAAGCCACAGTAATCAAGACAATTTGGTACTGGCACAAGAACAGTCCCATAGACCAATGGAATGGACTAAAGAACCCTGATATAAACCCAACCATATATGGTCAATTAATATATGATAAAGGAGCAATGGACATACAATTGGGAAATGACAGATTCTTCAACAACTGGTGTTGGCAAAACTGGATAGCTACATGCAAGAGAATGAAACTGGATTATTGTTTAACCCCATACAGAAAAGTAAACTCTAAATGGATCAAAGACCTGAATGTAAGTCATGAAACCATAAAACTCTTATAAGACAGCATACACAAAAATCTCCTGAATATAAGCATGAGCAACTTCTTCCTGAACGCATCTCCTCGAGCAAGGCAAACAAAAGCAAAAATGAACATGGGACTACATCAAACTAAAAAGTTTCTGTGTGGCAAAGGACACCATCAACAGAACAAAAAGACATTCAACAGTATGGGAGAATGTATTAGTAAATGACATATCCACCAAGGTGTTAACATTCAAAATATGTAAAGGACTCACATGCCCCAACACCCAAAAAGCAAATAACCCGATTAATAAATGGGCAGAGGATTGGAAGAAACAGTTTTCCAAAGAAATTCAGATGGCCAACAAACACATGAAAAGATGCTCCTCATCACTAATCATAAGGAAAATGCAAATGAAAACCACAATGAGATATCACCTCACACCAGTAAGGATGGCCAGCATCAAAAAGACTAAGAACAACAAATGCTAGCAAGGATGCAGACAAAGGGGAACCCTCCTACACTGCTGATGGGAATGTAAACTAGTTCAATCATTGCGGAAAGCAATATAGAGGTTCCTCAAAAAACTAAAAATAGAAATACCATTTGACCAAGGAATCCCACTCCTTGGAATTTACCCAAACAACACTACTTCTCAGACTCAAAAAGACATATGCACCCCTATGTTTATTGCAGCACTATTTATAATAGCCAAGATATGGAAGCAACCTAAGTGTCTATCAGCAGATGAATGGATAAAGAAGACGTGGTACATATACACAATGGAATACTACTCAGCCATAAGAGAGAAACAAATCCTACCATTTGCAACAACATGGATGGATCTGGAGGATATTATGCTCAGTGAAATAAGCCAGGTGGAGAAAGACTAGTGCCAAATAATTTCCCTCATTGTGGAGTATAACAGTGAAGCAAAACTGAAGGAACAAAATAGCAGCAGACTCACAGACTCCAAGAAGGGACTAGTGGTTACCAAAGGGGAGGGATGTGGGAAGGCAGGTGGGGAGGGAGGTAGATGGGGATTGAGGGGTATTATGATTTAGTACACATGGTATGGGGGGTCACGGGGAAACCAGTGTAGCACAGAGAAGGCAAACAGTGAATCTGTGGCATCTTACTACACTAGTGGATAGTGACTGCATTTGGGGTATGGGTGAGGATTTGATAATATGAGTAAATGTAGTAACCACATTGTTTTTTCATGTGAAACCTTTATAAGAGTGTATATTAGTAATACCTTAATAAAAAATGTAAAAAAAAGGAAAGCCAATTTCTCTTCATTTTAAGAAAGCATATACTTGGAATTACACACACGCAGTTCATTACTCTGATAATAATATCAAAAAGCACTGACAAATATTTACCCATTATATGTTTCAGACAGACCAGCAAATGGCTCATTTTCACAGTTGGCAAAAAGAATTACAAAACTTAGTGCAAGTGCAATTGCAGATGCGAGTAAAGCGAACTTCATTGTGTTTTTACACGTCAGTTTTAGTTTTGAAACAAGGATACCACCTAAAATCTGACCAAGCGCAGCCCCAGGAATTAAAACAGCCCCTAATGAGAAAGAAGACACAGTGAGAAAACATACAGATTTATGCAGTAACTCATACTGACTATTGGAAAACATCATAAACAAGCACCAGTATGGTTTTAACTGTGAACACATTCAGGTAATTAAGAAACGTATGAATAAATGGCATAATAGTTATATTAAGTAAGAGACTAATATAGTTAATGTTTAATATTAAGATTAATATATATTCTCTTTAGCTATATAACCTCTGTATCTCTTGTTCATAAAACAGATTATCTAATGTCAGAAAATCAGAAACTATCAAAGTATAAATTTAAATTTCAAGGAGTAAGTCATCCAAAATGATATACTATTTTAATAAATATTTAATGTGGTAAAGTAAAATTATTAGATTAAGTTAAAACAAAGAAAATATTTTACCTCCAAGGGTAGCTGCAAAGCTGGATGATAATCCAAATTGATTTTCTATAAATTTAGGTAAAAATGTAGCAAAACCAGTAGTAATTAAGGCTTCTGAAGAAGTTGATAAAACTAAACACATGAAGACAGTATTCCTCATCAAATTCTGAAGAAAAATATACAGTTCACAAATGAGTAACTATAATTATAATGCAAAATGTAGCATTAGAATGGCAGAATTATGAAGTGGCAAATTTTAATAAACACAATGTAATTACTTATAAGATTTCAGCATTCTCTCCAGCATAAAAGTAGAAAATTCAATTATTAGTAGCTTTATATATACAATATTAAGGGAAAATTTATATGTGGAATACCTAGAGAATTGACAGATGATTCATCAGTAAGGTGGCTGTGCCTTTATCATATGCAAGGGACCAGAGAAAGAAGATAAAGCCAGCCTGGAAAGGCTCCCTGTTCCAGTCTTACTATAAACCTTCATATAATAAATCTACCCTTTATTTGATTTCTTATTTTGTTTTGAATTCCCATGTCCAGTAAATGAAGAACGTGACTATGAACTCCCATGAGCATGGTCTCTAAGTATCAAACATAGAGTACTGTTCCATGAAGAAAGGACTCCGTAGTTAAGAACCTTTTAAATAGGTATAGAGTTAAGCAATTTTAAATAGGTGTCTATATTATTAGATTTCTCAGAATCTTATTAAACTATCAGAAGGGAGTATGAGATTCATTATTCCAATGTATTTAGCCACAAAGTGAAAAACTTAAATATTAAATGCAAAAAAAAATTCATAAAACCAAATGAGACACAGTGAGGATGAGATAGTTTGGAGTTAGAAGTCAGTCAGATAATCTAATACAATAATAATAGAGACAAAAGGAGAAAAAGTACCTGAATGAAGACATGCAATTATTTTTTTAAATAATAATAGAAAGTATTTAAGTCTTCAGAATGCAAAAGGTAATGGACACTTTGCAAGGATTAATGAAAAAAGACAAATACTTAAACAGTAAATTTCCTGAAATCAAAGATAAATGAAAAAATTTACCAATTTGCAGATGGAAAGGATAAGGAAATATCACACTAACAGTAGAACTTCTCACCTTTAACACATTTCACCAGAAAAGAGCAAAACAACATCTACAGGCTCCTGGGATGAGAGGAATACAACCCAAAAGTATTCATCCAGTCAGAAATATCATTCAGACATTCAAGGATACTTAGATGACATCCTATCTGATACTTCATCTAGCCATAAAATACTTCATCTATGGAGATCTGAATCAGAATTGAAATCTCAAAGCATAGGATAAAAAAAGCAGTAGTGAGAAATGACTCTTGCTGGTAGTATAAATAAGAATTTATAAATTAAGTTAAATAGAAATACATGAACTTGAACAGAACTACCAAAAAAGAAAATAGTATTTGGGATTAAATATTATCAACAATCTTAGCAAAACACAACAATGTGCCTGTGTGGGAGAGGAGGAGGTGGGAAACAGGTGGGATAAAATGGAGTGGAAATATGTTAAGGCTTTTATTTGAGAAGGAAAAAAATAATGAAAAGCAAATAATTTCAGATTTTTGAAAAGGTAAAATTATGAACTTCTGTATGTATAAAACTTTTATGATGCTTTTCGGCTGAGTAGAACAGAATAGACTAACATTTCTGTTTCTTTAATCTCAAATTCAAATCAAGTAACCACTAACCGCCACCTTTTTCACAAGGGGAAGATATTGATTGGGCATTCTCAAATATGTATTTATAATTCAGTGATAATTTATTGATTCATTACATAATGGAAATGGCCTGGAATAATGAGCTATGTGCTAATGATAGCCACTGAATACTGATTTTGCCAATAATATAATTCATGTTCTTTCAACCATTCCACTCTGGAATGGTTTCCATTTAACTCAGAACACAATTAAATTAAACCTGAAGAGTTGTTCATAAAGCTAGAAATATAGTGAAGAAGCAAACAATAACACATTATGAAAGTATTTATGGGTTTGTGTGTATACATGTGTGTATATGTCCTTATGTATGTACATATGTAATATATGCATATAATGTACATATGTATGTGTGTGATACTGCATGTGTGTGAACAGTATTATTTTTTACCTTTAGAGCAGCTGGAAAATCTTTAAAACTTTTTCCAAAATTTTCATCTGTGTATTTTAAGTGACTATTGTTATTCTGATGAGCCTGAGAAATTTTTCCATCTTGAATTTTTGCTGTACCTAAAAAAATAATTGTAAATATATTTGATCTATCACTTCATTCTTCATTTTTTAAAATGCTTACCTAATTAACACAAACTTCTGTAAATATATAAATTTCATAACGTAAAAAGCCCGTTCTCTTCATCAACAAAACTGTACTAATATCTGTATCTAGCTGTCCTAACACCTAGTGCTATTACTTTTAGCTAGGAAAGTTCCAACCAGTTTAAAAGTTAAGATAAAACAACTTTGCCCTAATAACATATTTATTCTCTTTATTTAAAATCTCTCTTAAAATTTTTTTCTTCTTTCAAATGGTTCTCTTTTCCATCCTTTATATATTAAGTGAAGTATGTTAGAGGCTTTTTTCCTTTACCCTCTTTCATTCTAACATGCATTGCAGATGAAATATTCACTGTTTCTTACCATGTTGCTTTGATTTTTAATAATAGTTTGAATAAATCTGAGAAAACAATCAAGATATAGAATTATAAATTAGAAGGTCCAAGGTAGAAAGAAATCAATGAGCCCACCTACACTGCCAACTCCTTTCAACCATTTCCAAAAATTAATCGTATATCCTGTTACATAACAGAAGCAACTATATATGTTCAGCCTAGAGAAAAACACTTCGATAGATACATATGTGAAGTACATAATTATATAGAAGCAAAATCTCACAGAGAAAGGAATGGATATTCTTTTCAGTTAATCTTTTCTTTTGGACAGACTGTGTAATACGGAGATACGGTGAAATATTAGTAAACTACAGCACGATTTTAGTGACTATTTCTTTAAAAGTACTTGTACTTTCATCAACAACTAATTAGCCTCAATAATTTAAGGCAGATTGACTCTTGAAGTTAGTGACTGACTGAATACAAACTAACAGTTTAAAAGAGATTGTATCTTGTTCATATAAAGCAGGATTCCAAATAACAATAAAAACAAATTTTGTTAAATATTCAGTAAGAAGATGAATATGTTCCAGTTTTACTGATTATTAGCTGGAAATAAAAGAGAAAAAACAAGAATATTAAGATTGTTGCCCCATAGCTGCTAAAATAATGACAGATATTCAAAAATTTGCATAGGCAGACAACTGAGATTTCATAAAACAGACAATGAATTTTCTAGGGTCTCATCAATCAGAAGGAAAGGAACACTTGTCCAGAATTAGAATAAAACTCCCTGGTTTTAAAGAAAACATGTTTACCTGGTAAATGTTTTGGAAAGCAAGAAAAAGGCATTATCAAAGACCAAGCAAAGACCCAAGCTATAAGAAATCCAATCCACCACGCCCCCAGCCATCGTGGATCATCTTCAGTAACAGCAGTGCTATATGACAGAAAAAGAAAAGGTAAGTCAACTCTACTTTGCTCATTAAAACTCAGTTATGATAATGATATACTTTATAATTATATATAATTATATACAAGTGCATATATAGAGAAATACTATTATAATAACTAAAATTTTAAGTGGGGCCATTGTAATGAATCAGACAACAAGTAGCAGACATAAATAACAGCTATACCAGCTTACAAAGTACTCAAAATGACAAATATGACATAAAAGTTGAAAATATTTAATAGTAAATATAAGTATGTTGACTATATGATAGCATGCTTAGAATTTATGAACATTCCTAACTGGTTGTTTTTCTTCTCTGCTATATGAAACACAATACAGCAAATTACTCACCTATGTTAAAAGTCCATACACTGTGCTTCAATTATGACATTCCCTCAGATGTGAGGTTCTTTTCATTTTATTTTATTTATTTTTTATTGAGGTATAAGTGACATATGTTATATGAGTTTCAGGTGAGCAAAATTATCACTATGATAAGTCTAGTTAACATCCACCACCATACATGGTTACAGAAATGTTTTTCTTATGATAAGAACTTACAAGATTTACTATCTTAGCAAATTTCAAATATGCACTCCAATATTAACTATAGTTGCCATTCTGTACATTACATCCCCATGACTCACTTACTCCGTAACTGCTGGTTTGTACCTTTGACTCCTTTAACCCATTTCTCTCAGCCTCCTCCCCACAAACCTTTGGAACCAATTTATTCTCTGTATTTATGAGCTGAGTTTTATGTTTGTTTATATGTTTCCTTGATTCCACATATAAGTGAAATCATATGATATTTGTTTTTCTCTGTAAAATTCTTCTTAAAGTGATTAACAGTTTTTTATAATGGTTCTCATATTTTTATATCAATAGACTCTCCCCAAAAACATACCACTCACACAACTCATGTATTTCCCCACCGAAATTAAAATGTCCTTCCTTAAAAACCCAACTTTCTGTTTCAAGGGCTTCCTCTACACATCTTTTTAAATACAGTTGACCCTTGAACAGCATGAGCTTGAACTATATGGGTCCACTTATACATGGAATTTTTTCAACAAATATATTGGAAAATTTTTTGAGCTTTGTTAACAATTTGAAAAGCATTTTCTTTTTTCCAGCTTACTTTATTATAAGAATAAAGTGTACAATACTTTTAACATACAAAATATATGTTAATCAACTGCTTATCACTAAAGTTGCCAGTCAACAGCAGGCTATTAGTAGTTAAGCATTAGGGAAGTTAAAAGTTACACACAGATTTTGGGCTGTACAGAGGCTCAGTGCTCCTAACACCCACATTGTTCCAGGGTCACCTGTAGTCTCTAAAATATTAGCCTAGGATTAACAGCTCAAAGAAGTAATCACATACCCGTGACCACATTTTCGTATTCACTGATCACAGTCACACAAAGGATTATGTAGTTATGATTCCCAGTGGTCAAATAACATACGGCCTTACCAAAGGTCACTACTTTGCTATTCAGGCAAAGGACAAAGTAACTCAGAGGTTCAAAGGGGAATTTTGGAATTAAAAAGACCTACTTACATTCATGTTTAGGCAACTCACCAAGCTCTGTGTATCAAACTACTACAGGATTACTAAGGATTAAATTAAATAAAATGTCATTTAAAGTAAGGCAACACACAAAATCTATGTTGTCTAGAAAACAGAATGGGATAAACATTATATTTATCCTCCATTGTTACAATCATTAAAACTGCACAATTGTGATCTCTATGAATTATCAGAGCTACTACAGAACTTAGCTTAAGAATCATAGACTCTTGAGACTCTTCAGGCCATCTATCTCCAGCTAAGTCAACTGAAAACATAACTAAGTTTTATTAAATTTTTCTATTTGAACAATGCATGGGCTCCAAGAGGTATATTTTGAAAAAATTTACCTGGTAATTATTAAGCATCCTTATTTGTGAATAATGTATTCATTATACTAAGAGATGGTGTGGCATTAATTTACGAAGAAACGCAGCTAAAATATTATATAAAAATTGTATGTATTCAGTTTTGTTTCTGAAAAGTCCCTCATGCCATACTGAGGAAATATTGCAAAAACGTTCAGTCTATGACGTTAACATTATTAAAATAAAAAACAATTTTAAAAAATAGATATTGTCTTGCCTTTGTCCCATACTGACATCAATGTACAATGTTAGCAGTTGTCCTCCCAACACATAGCCAATAGCAGGTCCTAATACTGACATAGAGTAGCCAATTCCTACAAGAACAAACACATTTAAAATGATCAGCTAAATAACTTTGCTCCGAATGTCTAACAATAGTGACAAAAGACAAATAGTTACTTTAGAAAAATCAAAATCACACATACTTTCACTAAAAAATACCATTTGATTGGTATCATTTGTCAAGTCAAGCAGCTTAACATATACAATTCAATTTAAAAGTTGTTACACTATAACAATAATAGCAACAAATCCAATAATTATAAATTCTTGGAAAGATATGTTAGCTGGTAGCTGTGGTAGTACTTCTTCTACTACCCTTTATGGTGGTGATAATTATTGTTTACAATTCTTAAGGAAGAAAACAATAAGAAAATTTTTCTTCCACTCTGTATATACTCCAAAATCATTCTTATTTTGCACTATCACAGCTGATTTTAAAACCTGGACATGGTCTACTCTGTTTTTAAAATTAAGTCATTAATTTAAGCTCCTGCTCCTAGTGAAGCTCCCATATTTACTTGCATCGGAATTAAAATGACCTTGTTTCTCTCAAATATTTAAAATTTTGCCATGTATAACAAATTTTTGCAAAAAAATTCATGCATATATCATATTAGCAATAAGTAGTATATTCCTAACTTCTGAATTTTTGTTAATTGCAAAGATTCTCATTCTCATGCAGAAAAGAATATGAGTTTACCACACCTAAAGCTGAACATACATGAATGGCAGAAGGGACTTATGTACTCAACCAAGTTGCCAAAGAGAAGTCAAGCAAGATGGTCTGAAAACATTTAAAAACTTTCATTTATCTGTCAACTATATTCATTTACATTATATATTCAAAAAAATTTTAAATACATTAGTGGAAAAATTTAAGTACATGATTTATAAATACTAAGTACATACATATACACAGGATTCATGCTCAAAATTTTGAGTAAAGTACATAATTAAAAATGCTAGAAATCAGTGATTCTCCAACCATCTGGGGTGGCAAAGCTTTAAAAAAAATTCCAATCAGGTTTAGACTGATACTTTTGTAAGGCTATCTTATAAATTCTTCAGAAGTATAAAATTGCTCTAAAAGTTTCTAAAAGTTTATTGCCATTTTCTGACTTACCTTCATATTGACATGGGTTTCTGGAACACACATTAAGTAGCACTGCCTAGATCACTTGCTTTTTCCAGTCTCCAGTAATTATCAATGCTTAACAATAAATTATGGTATATTAATTTGTTCACAACTCATTGCTGGCAGAATTAATTGCAACCTGTAGGGCCCAAGTAGGAGGGAGCAGACCATTTGGAAGCTTGCACCTGGTTTTATCTGTATTTCATCTCACATACCTTTTCCCTTTGCTGATTTTGTTTTGTATCTTTTGCTGTAATAAATCATAGCCATGAGAATGATTATAGGTGGAGTCCTGAGAGTCTTCCTACAGAATTATCAAATCTGGAATGGTCTTGTGAGCTTTCACCCACCTACTGTATTAAAATACTTTTTATTGTTATTTTTGTTATTTCTGTATGTTGCCAAAATATAAAGAATAAAACTATGAGAAGTAGTGATCAGAAGAGGATTTCAAAAAGGACATCTGCTGAACTGGAAGAGTGAACAGCATTATTATTAGTTAAGTGAAATAAAAGCATTGTTAAATTAGTACATGCAGGAGAAATTAGGAAGTGTACAGCTGAACTGTAACTTGTAGAGAGAGAAAGCATCAGACCTTGTGGAGCCAGCAAAGCAAAACAAGCCGAAGTGTAGTGGTTGTCCTAATATGGACGAACCTAAGTTGATTTAGTAGCATTTATCACGTCTGCACTGAACATACTTGATTTCCAGTGACTGTGGCAATAGGTCTTGCTGTAGATTGAATGATTGTATCCCCCCCAAAATTCTTACACTGAAATCTAATCCCCAATGTAATGGTATTAGGAAGTAGTGCCTTTAGAAGAGATTAGGATGTAGAGAGTGGAGCCCTGATAAATGGGATTAGTGTCCTTATAAGAGACCCCAGAAAGCTCCCTTTTCCCTTCTACCATGTGGAGACAGCAAAAAGGTGACTATCTATGGACCAGGAAGCAGACCCTCAACAGACATTGATTTGTGGGCACCATAATTTTCAACTTGCTAGCCTCCAAGAAACCGTGAGAAATAAATTTCTTTTGTCTATAAGCCAATCAGTCTGTGCTATGCCTTATAACAGTCCCAAGTGGACTGTTTGACCCCCTACATTAGAATAATAAACTGATAAAGTGAAAACTCACGTGTAAATGAATTATACATTAATTGGACAAAGGGCCATGCATAGTCTAGTTAGCTTTATCTTAAAGAAACATCAGGGAAGGGATTTAAGAGAAACTTACGCTTCCAAAATTAGATCACAAGAGGAAAAAATGTCATATATAAAAAAGGGCTAATCTGAAATAGAAAACTCCATGGAGTTTCTGCATACTGTCTTGAGGTTTCTTTTGTTGACTGGTCATGTCCAAATAAGATGTGGTCAGTCAACTATAACAGCAGAACTCCATCTTCACACCCTGTGAAAATTAGCCTGGCACTCAAGCAAGTTAGCCAGCCTACTGCTTGGATGGCACTTCAGAACACAGAAGTAGAGCAGTACATCAACAGAGCTCACAACCACATTCATCTGAAGGACATGTATCAGAAAATGATTAAGTGAAAAAAGTAATACTGCATTTATCTCATGGAAATGCTTAAGAAATTACAACCAACTTTTTAATAGGCATGTTATACTGTATAAATGAAATAAGCAATAGAATGAAATGATACTGACACACGTATATTAGAAAGCAAACTTACCTATATAGAGAGAAGATTTGTGTGTGGGAACAGAATCATCAATAAAGGCTGTTCCCAGGGTGTAGAGAGGAGTTCCTCCTGCTCCTAGTAATAGTTGCCCCAAGATGAAGACATACAAGTAGTTGGAAAGTGAAGAACTTGAAGAGGTACAGCTGGTTCTATTCCTTGTTGTTAAGCAAGTATCTTTAGGGACAAAAAAATAAAACTGAATTTACAGAAATTTAGCTAATACTTTAAATATCTATCTTCATGAATTAATTTGCCTAACATAACTTTTATTTCTCCCAATCAGTTCTCCTTGATTATATTTAAACTATTTTAAAATGCATATATTACTAAATAAAATTTATGAAATATTATCATGTTAAAATTTAGATAACATAGAAAACTGAGAAACAACAATTCAAAAAATGAAATTAAAAAATTTTCAGGTAAATTAATGTAAACACAATTGAAGTAAGGGGTGCCAGGGAAAGAGTTTTCAAATGAGGGGGAAAAATCTAGCCTCTATTTTTTTCCAGGTCATAAATACAATGTGAACATCATACTGAATTTATCAATAAGCATCTTTAACATATATGAAAAGTATACCTAGGTTATAGGATATTTTAACAAAAACAGTAATTCTCAACACTCACTACAAAGCAGTAATATTTGGAAGTTTTGTCTAGTTCCTTTTTACAGCTCAAACTCTTTTATTCAACTTAATTTTTTGAAACAATCCTTGGTACTATAGGTTATTTTTTTGAATATCATCAAAGGAAAATGGCTACCTTTAAGTTTTGGTTAAAATCTTCTTAAAAGTTACATTCCAAGGCAGGGTATGATAGTACATCCATATTTCCTAAATCATCTGAAAATATTAATGAACAATGGTGTTTGTTAAAACTACATTTCAAGCCCTTTCCTTTTGAATCTGGTATTGTACCTACGAATTTACATTTTAACAATGGCCGCAGCTAATTCTATTATCATCTCCTTAACATCAGCTCAATATTTATTATTTCCCAATTGATAAGTAAGGTCTCCAAAGCACCAATTCTGAAGATTCTTTAACTGGTTTCATGGCTATCAAATTTTCAGATGAAATTTTATGTATAAATTATGTATTTTAAAATTTCAAATATACCCTGTAATATTGTATATATTCATGTTATAGAAGGTTGATGAATATTTTGGCAAGTGATTTGTATTTATAACTGAGCTAGGTCTGCATTATTTGTGCTACCTCCCTGGTAACATACACAAGATGAATCCAGGGATTAAAGATGGTGGAATAGGAAAGCAAGGTGGAAATCCTCCCAAAAACACATAAAAGAAGAAAATACAGCAAATACAAATAAACCTGAAAATGACCTGAGGACTGCAGAACATACCACCTACACCTGAGGAAGAAGAGAAGAACACACAGAAAAGGGTAAAGTAAAGCTGAGATCGAGTGGGACCCAAGCCCTCCCCAACTCCCAGCCTAGAGGTGGGAGAAAGAGGAACAGTAATCAAAAAACTCCTGAAACACAAAACCCAGATCCAGATGGTTTCTTAGCAGAATTCTACCACACATACAAGAAGAGCTAATACTCACCCTTCTTAAAGTATTCCAAAAAGTAGAAGAGGAGGGAATACTCCCAAACTCATTCTATGAGGCCAGCAACACTCTAATACCAAAACCAGGCAAAGACACTGCACAAAAAGAAAATTACAGACCAATATCCCTGATGAACATAGATGCCAAAATACTCAAAAAATATTAGCTAAACAAAAACAGAAATACATCAAAAGGATAATTCACCACGACCAAATGGGATTTATTCTAGGGATGCAAAGATGGCACAATATTCATAAATAAATCAATATGAAACACCACACCAACAAAAAGGATAAAAACCACATGATCATCTCAACAGACACTGAAAAAGCATTTGACAAAATTCAACATCCATTCATGATAAAAACTCTAGCAAAATGGGTGTAGAGGGTACATACCTCAACATAATAAAGGCTACATATGACAAACCCACAGCCAACATAATACTTAAAAGCAAAAAGTAAAAAGCTTTTCCTCTAAGATTGGGAACAAGACAAGGATGTCCACTCTCACCACTTTTATTCAACATAGTACTGGAGGTCCTAGCCATGGCAATCAGACAACACAAAGAGATAAAAGGCATCCAGATGGTAAGGAAGAAGTAAAACTCATTGTATGGAGATAATGTGATATTGTACATAAAACACCGTAAAGAATCTACTCTAAAACTACTAGATCTAATATCTGAAATCAGGAAAGTTGCAGGATAAAAAATTAATACACAGAAATCTGTTGCATTCCTATACACTAATGACAAACTAGCAGAAAGAGAAATCAGAAAAACAATTCCATTCACAGTTGCATCAAAAAGAATAAAACCCCTAGGAATAAACCTAATTTAGAGAAAGAGGTGAAAGACCTATAATCTGAAAACAAGACACTCCTGAGAGAAATTAAAGAAGATACCAATAAATGGAAATCAATCCCATACTCATGGGCAGGAAAACTTAATATTGTCAAAAGTTAATATTAACTCTGTAAATTGCTTTGGGAAATGTAATCTTTATCAAAATACCAACAGCATTCTTCAATGAATTAGAACAAATAGTTTTAAAATTCACATGGAATCACAGAAGACCCTGAATAGCCAAAGCAATACAGAGAAAGAAGAACAAATCTGGGGGAATTACACTCCCTGATTTCAGGCTCTACAAAAAAGCTACAGTAATCAAAACAATTTGGTGTTGGCACAAGAACAGACCCATAGATCAATGGAACAGAATAGAGAGCCCAGATATAAACCCATGCATATATTATCAATTAATATATGATAAAGGAGCCATGAATATACAATAGGGAAAAGACAGTCTCTTCAACACTGGTATTGGGAAAACTGGAAAAATACATGTAAGGGAATGAAACTGCATTATTGTCTAACTCCATACACAAAAAAGTAAACTCGAAATGGAGCAAAATGCTGGATGTAAGACGTGAAACCATAAAACTTTTAGAAGAAAACATAGGCAAAAATCTCTTGAATATAAGCATGAGCAATTTTTTTCCTGGACATATTTCAGGAAAGGGAAACAAAATAAAAAATGAACAAGTACAAGTGGGACTACATCAAACTAAAAAGATTCTGTACAGCAAAGGACACCATCAGTAGAACAAAAAAGCATCCTAGAATATGGGAGAATATATTCATAAGTGACTCATCTGATAAGAGGTTAACATTCAAAATATATAAAAAACTCATATGCCACAACACACCCAAAAAAAATAACCTGATTAAGAAATGAATGGAGGACCTGAACAGACACTTCTCCAAAGAAGAAATACGAATGACCAACAGTCACATGAAAAGATGCTCCACATCACTAATCATCAGAGAAATGCAAATTAAAACCACAATAAGATATCACCTCACACCAGTTAGGATGGCCACTATCCAAAAGACAAAAAAACAAATCCTGGCAAGAATACGGAGAAAGGGGAACCCTCCTACACTACTGGTGGGAATGTAAGTTAGTTCAACCATTGTGAAAAGCGATATGGAAGTTCCTCAAAAAACTAAAAATAGAAATAACATTTGACCTGGGAATCCTACTCCTAGGAATTTACCCAAAGAAAACAAAATCCCTGATTCGAAGAGACTTATGCACCCATATGTTTACTGCTGTACTATTTGCAATAGTCAAGATATGGAAGTCACCTAAGTGTCCATCAATAGATAAGTGGATAAAGAAGATGTGGTACATATACACAATAGAATATTATTCTGCCATAAAAATAAAATAAATACTGCCATTTGCAACAACATGGAGGATCTAGAGGGTATTACATTCAGGGAAAGAGGCCAGGTGGAGCAAGACAAATACCATATGAATTCACTTATTTGTGGAGAATAACAAAGCAAAACTGAAAGAACAAAACAGCAGCAGACTCACAGACACCAAGAAATGACTAATGGTTACCAAGGGTGAGGGTTTGGGGTGGGTGTGGGATGAGGGGGATGAAAGGGCACAATAATTCACAATCACAATGTAAGTTGATTCATGGGAACTGATGAACAACTGTGATGTACATTTGAAATCAGCATAAGATTGTATATTAATGATACTTTAGTAAGTTAATTAATTTTTTTAAAAAACATATACAGGATGAGCTTGGGGCATCTCATATTGACAGAAAGTAAGAAAACAAAGAAACCTGTAATGTTGGAGATGTGTCAAAGGATACAGCAGCCAACTGAAAGAACTCTAGGTAGCCAAAACTGGAAAAATTTAGCAACAAAATATAAAATACATATCGATCCATCCACAATGAAAAAGAAATGATTGACTAAATAATAAATCGGGGAGAAGAAACATATTTATATTTCAGAAGAATTCCAAGTAATGGATGGCGATACTGCACTCTCAAAGAGGTAGAACACCTCACTTCTGAAGTGTGTGGGGTGCACACAGTGACTTTATTCCAAAAAGTATAGTGGAAAGTGGGGGGAAATGAATGATTTCACAGTGGGTTAACATGACAAACACTCCCTTAACCAGGTGATGAAGGTCATCATCAGGAGTGATAAGTGATGCTGATAACTGCATGTACCTTTGATATGATGCAATGAAAATGTGTGGTCCACCCCCAAAAACCCCAGTCTAATCATAGGAAAAACATCAGATATGTCCCATCTGAGAGACAGGCTATAAAATATTTGACCAGTATTTTTCAAAACAGCCAAGGTCATCATTAAAAAAGAAAAGCAAAGTCTGAGAAATTGTCAAAGCCAAGAGGAACCAAAGGATATGACACCTAAGTGTGATCTGGTATCCTGGATTGGATCCTGCAACAGAGGAAGGACATTAGATAAAACCAAGGAAACCTGAATAAAGCTTGGACTTCAGTCAATAAACCTAAACATTAACAGATCAATAATAGTTCATTAATCCTGAGAAATGTAGCGTACAAAGTAAGATGTTAATAATAGGGGGAAATTGTGGTGTGTATGGAAACTATCCTATCTTCATAATTTTTCTCCAAATCTAAAACTGTTCTAAAACTAATTACAAATTAAAGTTATACTTCCATAAAAATTAAAAATAGATAATAAAAATATATAGCAGTATCTTAATTAAGCAGATACTTCCAGAGATGTAAGATT